GTCCCAGCGCCATTTTTTGAAAAGACTCTTCTCTTCCTCATTGAATTGTCTTGGCACCCTTGTCAAAAATCAGTTGGCTATAAATATACAGGTGCTACACTAAAGATCTTGTGCCAGAATGTAGGTCAATGAACTGCTTCCCTCACAGGTACAGTCTCACGAGGAAAAGGAAAAAGTCATCTCAGTGGCCTGATTGATTTACATCCTGGAGTAAGCTCCTTATTTCCTTGCGGACTGGCTTCTACCTAGAAAATGTTTGTGGAACACATTTTGAGTAGCACTCCTCTAAATCTTTGGTACTTTAAGTGCCACTGCCCAGGAGTACCCCAGGCTCTATCCCAGAGCTACTAGATTAGAATCTGTTTTTAAACAGAATCCCTAGGTGATTCAATGCTTATTAAAGTTTGAGCAACATGCCTCTAGAATCAGACTCTAAATGACTTTAAAGATCTGTTCAGTAAGTAGAGGATTAATTAATGAGTAAGACTTGGAAAAGGGAGAATAAATGTGATTGTAGGCAGGATTATATCTGGGACTTACGTAACAGAAACCCATAAGGGCCCCAGATACGTTGCCTTCGGTAGAACTCCAGGGCCAGTCCAGATCTCAAAGCGTTTCTCTTCACTACTGCACTGGACTTGATATCATTTTTGTTTGTTTGTGAATTATAAAGAGTTACAAAGGAAATGTAGACTTATAAAGGAGAGTTACAAAGGAAATTTAGAGTTACAAAGGAAATTTTCCTAAAATTTAGGCAATTTTAGAGAAGGCGGGTGGGGAATAGTAAGGCCGAAGACTTTTACAAAGCAACTTTGGGAGAGAGAAACTAGTTCCAGGCCTTAGAACTGCTTTCCTTCATCCTTAAGTTAATAAGAAGCTGAACTTTGGTTAAAAGTGTCTGTGGAATCATAGTGTGATTCTAGAAGTTGGCAGCAATAGTGCCGAGTCATAAACTCAGAAACCATCGACTATTCGGAGGGTCAAAACAGGTAAATATGCCTCTTTGGAAGCTTACTGTATGCAAATGCAGGCACTGTCAGCATCAGGAATTTGCAGGAATTTGTCACGCTGACATTCCAAGGAAGGGTGACCTGAGCAAAAGATATATAAGAAAATTAGTTACATACTATAACTCATTTTACTATTTTTAGGTGAGTGACATTATTGATGTGCTACTTAGAACGCTGTCTTCTTTGTTTTCTTGAACATAAATATAAAGGCTTTTATAGATGTACTTAGCAATTGAGTCCTCTGCTTTCTTATAAGGCTTTAAGATTCTTGGGTAGGAATTTCCTGCTGCAGGAATTTTGAAGCTCGGGATAGAATACTGTTCTGTGGTACAAGCACCATTAATTAGGACCACAGATAAACTTGAAATGTGTGGTCATCTATAGGATCTGGGTAGAAGGCCTCATTTTCAAATGGTACGTTTTGTATGTGTTTGTGAAAAAAGTTTTTCATCACTTCAAGCATTTAACTATGAAAGTTAATAAGCTAACTACAAATGCTTTAAATATCTATTCAGTAAAGCAGGTCTTCTAATACCATGTTTATCTGTGTGGTTTAATGTTAATTTTAAAATAAAGTTTAAAATGACAATACAAGTCTTTAGACTTATCACTGCTTCCATGATTTAATGTAATGTAAACTGATCTAATCCATAGTTTAACTGAACATTCCCCACTCCCCTGAAAATCAGAGTTTGACTTATACTCATCATGTAGACTTTTATCTCAGTTCTCCAAATAATACTTGTAGCCGAGGGCATCAGAGCATCTTCCTTATATCCTGCCTTTTCCTGAGTAAACCGGTAGTAACTGAGGTGCCTCTATGTGGGTTCCATCCCAGACCTCTATGCCATTCATTCTGTTCTGTAAGCCTGGGGCTGGTCTTTTAACTAAAGCCAGGGAAAGCTTGGGCATCCTTTGGCATGTTGCTGCTGAGAAGTGCTGTCACACTGCCCATGAATGTGAGTCTGTCTCAGCTTGTAGTAAGATTTTCTCTTGACCTTTTCTACATTTCACAGCCATTCAAACAGATCTTCTCTATCAGTTCTAAACCAGTGGCATCCTAAAATGAGAGACGTCGCTGTGTCATCAAGGTGTTAAAAGTAAAATGCCATCGTCTCCCTCCAAAGAGGCGGTCTTTTCTGCTTGGACATATCTCAGGATCTCTGCAGAAGACACAATGAACAGGAATTTGGGCGTGGACTGGTCAGCCAGCATCTTGGCAGAGTGTTCTAGGATGCCATCTGCAGATGTTAATTATCCAGTTTGGGTCCTCTAATAGCTCTTGACCTCCTCTTGGCTCTATCCGTTGCTTCTTATTTTCCTTCCAGATTCTTATTTATTCCTCTTGGGATGAGACAAACTCAGAGGCAACATTGCTGATTCTTTCTCAGACAGCTAAATGTAGAAACATTAGTCTTTCATTCTTTCTTGTGGACATTTGGAGGACATGATCTGCTGCTGCATTTTGGTTTCAAAGAAATTCTCTCCACTTCTTCCTACTTCTAGGACTCTGTAAATGGAAACAAATTCTAGAAGAGCTGATAAGACTGAAAAGCAGAAGGACAGTCCTCTAAAACATGAGCCCTGAAATCACTTTCTGTTTAGAGAAACTTGAATCCTAGAGGCTGCTTTTCTGCCTCATCATCTCTCTTGTCTGTTATCCAAAACAGTTGCTCTAAGCCTTTTATTTCTCTCATCAGGCTTCTTTCTCATTCCCTAACACTTTGAAGATGATCTTGTACTCTACCAAAAACAGAACAATAGATCTGAACTTCCTCAGATTCCCTTTTTTTTCCCCCCAGCCTTAAACCAATATGCATGTCCATCCTTATTTCCTTCCTGCTTGCCAGGAAAGAAATGTCTTTGAAAGGTCAGTCCCTTTAACAGTGCTCCTAATTCCTTCCCTTTTCTACCTGCAGGACTTTGTTCGCTCAGTTATCCTCATCCTCTCCTGTATCTTAAAGCACCTTTTTGCCCCGGCTCCTTTCACTCTCCAGTGCTCAGTCCTCTCCCATCCTAAAACTTCTCTCCCTCAGTGCTTCTCCTCTTTTAAGCTCAAAATGTCCTGAAAGAATCTCCCGTAGCCACCGGCTCTGCGTATTCCACTCCCATTCTTCGCAAGTCCAGCTCCGTTCTTACTTCACTATATTCCTTTTACAAAACTGTTCTTGCCTAGATCTCCAGCGACTTCCCAGTCGCCAGTAGAAGCAATCACGTCTTTACCTTTGGTCTACCTTTCTGAGGCAACAGTCATTCTTAATCCTTCACTCAGAGGAAAGTTCTAAGGAATTTTAACTTGGATGCTCAGAGTTCAGGTGTGTTGGTTTGATACTGTGAGGCTTCCTCTTGTTTGGGTATGTACTTTCAGATTAAAAGAGACCGTATCACTTTGAACACTGAGTCTCCAGTTAGTGTGGTGGTGGCTCAAGTTGCCGCATTTATGTGCTGACTCTTACAGAACCACGTTTCCCACCTCCTTCCTCCCATTTCTTTTATTAAACAAAGGAAAACAATTTATTAAAACTAGTTTAAAAATAAAACCTTGGGACTTCCCTGGTGACGCAGTGGTTGAGAATCCACCTGCCAATGCAGGGGACACGGGTTCGAGCCCTGGTCTGGGAAGATCCCACCTGCCGTGGAGCAGTGAGCCCGTGCGCCACAACTACTGAGCCCACGCACTCTAGGGCCCACGTGCTGCAACTACTGAGCCCGCGTGCTACAACTACTGAAGCCCGCGCGCCTAGAGCCCGTGCTCCGCAACAAGAGAAGCCAGCACAATGAGAAGCCCGTGCACCACAGCGAAGAGTAGCCCCCGCTCGCCACAACTAGAGAAAGCCCGCGCGCAGCAACAAAGCCACACGCAGCCAAAAATAAATAAATAAATGTATTTAAAAAATAAAATAGGGCTTACCTGGTGGTGCAGTGGTTGAGAGTCCGCCTGCTGATGCAGGGGACATGGGTTCGTGCCCCAGTGCGGGAAGATCCCACATGCCACGGAGCGGCTGGGCCCGTGAGCCATGGCCGCTGGGCCTGCGCGTCCGGAGCCTGTTGCTCCGCAATGGGAGAGGCCACAACAGTGAGAGGCCCGCGTACCGCAAAAAATAAAAAAATAGAAAAATAAAAATAAAATAAAACCTTACTTTGTGCATAAATCCCATTACCCAATTTGCTCGGTTTTTGCTCACTAATGACCTTAGATTTTGAACATCATCATTACAAAGATTTGCCTCTATGGATGTTGAAATAACCAGACTGAGGGATGAGGCAACTTCCAGTGTCTAAATGGGTCCTGACACATGGGAGGTGCTCAATAAGTATTTGTTGAAAAATTAATTCCAGAAGCAGCTCTGAGAGATGCAGTTCCAACCGGAGAGCTGGAAACATAACCCATCTTATATCCCAGTTGGTTGACTTGAAAGGCTTAATTGTGAGCAAAATGCTCAGGTCTGGATGCCATTGTAGTCCCTTCAGAACTTTAAAAAGCAATTATTCTTTTCATGTATTTCCTAGAGGGAGAAAAACAGTATGAATAGTTTAAAAGTCAAGTTGAGTTCACTTGTGTTCCTACAACCACGAAAAAAATCAGTTTCATTTTTCTGAATTAAAAATTCACATATTTAAATAGTTCATGCTGTCGCTCTCCTGTTAGCCCCTCTGCAGTGTTTCCGGAGATGGGAGTCTTTGCTTCTGGTTTATATGGAGCGCTGATGCCGTGAGCAAGTAGGCACCGTGTGTGCATTTGGTTCTAGAATTTAGTTCAGGAGAGCGTTATGGTTTAGAAGGGTTGCAGAATTGCTGTTGAAGAGCTGACCGTGAATCTCAGAGACCAGCGGAAACCTGCTCTTGACCCTGCCCCTTAAGTCTTGTCTCTCATCACTGTTAGTGTTGTCTCTGTGTATTTAAGTTATCTGGGCTAATGGAAAAACCTGGCTCGTTCTATCTCTACTGGTGTCTGTAACTGATAATTTATTTCTCAACTCTTCTTTACAGAGGGACCTGTCGGGGCACAAGAACATCGTGGGTTACATTGACTCCAGTATCAACAATGTGAGTAGCGGTGACGTGTGGGAAGTGCTCATTCTGATGGACTTCTGCAGGGGTAAGTATATGCGCCATACATTAAGCTCTCATTTCTCTAGCACTTTGATTGTCAAGGGTGTGGGGTCATTTCAGTTAATGTGCACTGTACTCTAACATATGTTGTTCCGGTTTTAAAGATTGGAAAACGAAGAGGCTAACAGATACAGAGCCTTCTGTCACTTCTTGGTTATTCTTACAATGGCGAGTATCAGTGGCACAAATAATTCAGAGTGGTAGATAATACAAAACTCTACTTTTGTTAGGTTTGGGAAGGTTTGGTGCTTGTATATGAATGCGAATGTATGAGAATGAGAATGAACAAGTTCTTTGTGATGCTTTGAAACAAATGATGAAGGCACATAATAAAGACCCAACTCCAGACAGACTAAGGGAGCAGTTCAGCTTCCCTCTCTCATGTGTTCTCTTCTCCACCCACACCACCATCCTTGCATTAGGGGGTAAAAGAATCCTTTTCATCTAATGGAAATGACCCTGCTCTTCTTGCTGGAGATCTGTGATTGCCAGGAAGGCTACATTCAGATGATGCTGCCATTAACAGTAGAGTCAAGTAGTTGAAAGCTCAGAGTTTCAAGCAGTATTTATCTTGGGAAACCCAGGCTGTAGCATGAATTTATTCGGAGTTGACTGCATTTCATACAGCTATTGTTCGGAGGTTTGGCTTTTTTGGTCTAAGCAGCTGTCACTTACATTCTTGGGTCATTGTCTCACTGTTTGGTGCCCAGTTTTGTAAGCACCCTTAGTTCCACTAACACGTTCCTTGCCTTTACAGATACTGTCCATAAATTAAATATGTTAGTAATGCTTAAAATGTGACATTAACCGATAGTTTCAGCCTTCGCTGTAACAGCTGTTAACCCGATTTTGTAAAATACTACCACATTTCGGAGCTTCCCTGGTGGCGCAGTGGTTGAGAGTCCGCCTGCCGATGCAGGGG